CCCCAGCCATTCCTATGATCAGACCCAGCTACCGACTCGCTTTATTCTGATATTAAATCAAGTATCAGCCCCAGGGCTCTGAACTACTTCTGACTGACAGGACCAAGAGAAAGTTCTAGGCTAATTACTTCTTAGGAGTAGTTCCCAGTGCAAAGAGTTACTACTGACCTACTTTGGACTTACTGAAATAATTTATCAGGTAAGATAATTAAGGGAACATAGAGCTGTTTCTAACACCAACCAAGTATCAGAAATATGTGTTGGAATCATAGGTAGGTATTCTCGGTGCTACCAGATGGGGCTTTTATTACTTTGCAGTGAGTCAATTCTATTATGTTCGACTTATTTATCAGCCACTCTTTTTCTTTATAAATTGTATTTGACAGGATGTATTTGAGATTCTCTTTGAGGTGTAAATGTATTCGTTTTGACTTTTTTTCAGTCTAGATATAAAGAGACAATCTTTGAAGCCCTTCTTTTCATTTCTCCTTAACCCGCGCCCCACAAACAGGCCCCACATCCCTGCGCACAGGTGTTCCGATTATTTCTGAAGTCCATCCTAAGTCCAGGGACACCTGGGTACGGCAGTGGGTCTATATGTGGTGTGGACCACTAGCCATGTGGGCATTTCAGTCTCTCTTTTGAAAGTTTAATTCTTTCCTACACGTAGGTAAATACCCTCCACTGAAGGATTTTTTGTAGCAATGGTCTTTTTTTCCTACTGAGAAAACCTGACCATTTTCTGATTTTTGCGGCCTTAATGTTCTTCATTATAAGAAGAAAAAGACAAAAAATAAACCTCATGGAACATAAGTGAGAGGCTTATACGAGTTTATAAATCACGTGTTTTCTCAAAATAAAGGCATTAAAATGATAGTAAAACATTAGTACATGGTAATCAAAGCCATCCTTTAGGTAGTATTTTTTTCTCCTTTTCCTCTACTCTCCTTACTCCTCTCCATTTTTATTTATTTTTTCTTCCCCATGTCCAGTAAGACTTGCTTCTTAACTTATAAACTCCTCTAGCTAACTATGGAAACAGATCATCTGATTGTGTGTTGGCTTCTTAACTCTAGCAAAGGTGTATCATCACTTAGGAAGTACCTGAGCACCTTTGAATAACCAGCTTTATTTCTGTGGTGAAATGTAAAATATTTATTTCTTAGTCCAGGGTTTTAATATTGCAGATACAATAATAACGTTATTTCTCAGCGGTATTTATTCACATCTTGTTATGCCTTCCTGATGCAGGGTTGAGGAAATGTGCGTGCATAAAACTGTAGTTTACTGAGTGTCAGGAGAAAATAATGCAAAACCCTGAATTGTGCTCTTTGCTGCCCCACAGCATATACAGTGTTTCATGTTTGCAGGAGGACCTGGCCATGGTTTCATTCAAAATCAATGGCACACCAAAACTCCCCTGAATCAGCCGACTATCTGAGAGTCGGATCACTTCCCTATTGCTTCCTATCTTTCTTTATATCCTCTTTTAATCCCTGCCTATTTCATTTCATTTATTGCTTTATTTTTGTGTCCTTCAGCTCTTTGCAATCTGCTCTTCACGTCCATAACTAAATATAATACATTAATATACAAAGGTATTTATGTAAATGAAAATCAATATGCTTATCATTTCAGCACTATTCCTTATTGCTTGCACTGGACATTTTAAGTACATTTTATTTAAAAACTAACAACTTTCATTCTTGCCTGGGAAGTATAATGATCTTCTTAGCTCCCTGCCCTCCTGCAGCCCACTAATCTTCACAACTTGGCCACTTAGCCCCATCTGGGGGTTCAGCCTTATTCCTCATTTTGGAACTAATCTTGTCTCTAGGCTGGGGGTGTAGAAGATGTCCTTAGCCAGAAGCTAACTGATTCAGCATCCAGTCAGCCGGGCTGCATTCTGACCTTGTAATTTATTTCTGAGATCCAGGTGATGTCCCAGGCTGTTGTAGCCAAAGCTTGTTTTCTGCATTAGTTCTTGCAAGTGGGTATCTCTTCTGTCTGTCCTGCATCTGTCCCTGATTACTTTTCCTGACTAATATCCCATTTCTCATGGACTGAGGTTCTACCTTGACCTTCTCTGTGTTTCTGTTGTAACTGAGTTTCTTTTCTAAGTCCAGTTGCCGTGCTGTTTAATCTTTCCGATGCCACTGGCCTTGTCCCTGTCTCCACTGCCTTCGAACCACAAGTCTGATCTTCTGCTGGAACAGGAGTGGCACTGTTCACCTGGACATCTTCCCACTGCCTGCTACCGCCATCTCCCTTGTCACCAGCACTAACCCCGAAGGTCTTGAGTCATTGTATCTAAGCTGCTTGCAATCTGGCCCTCTCATTATTCTAAACATGACAGGGGAAAAAAGTTATTTTAATTGCATCTTTGTTCAAACTGTTAAGCTTAACACCCTCTGGTTACTTTCAGCTCATATCTTCGTCTTGCCCTGCCACATAAACACTTCAAAACTCAGTGCCCTCTTTGTAAAGCGAGCTCATAATGGAATACACTCCTAGGCTTATTTTGACGATAACTGAGGAAAAAAATGCATACAAATGGACCAAGCCATTAGTGATCTTTCCCTGCTGTTATCATCTCATGTCTTAAATCTCGGCACTTGAAAAGTGAAACTATGTATAAAGTGGAACTATGTCACTTAAAGATGATCATTAATGAGATGAGAAACTATGGGAATGAAAATTCTTAAGAAAAAAATTAGGGACCCATGGGATTTTTTTTCAAAGTAAAAAAATTGACAGCAAGATTTTTAACTGCTTTAAAAATAATATTGAACTACACATGCAGTTACCAGCAAACATTAAAAATGAGATTTTTAAAAGTATGTGTTTTGTAAGTGTATCTTAATATATAGAGTCCTGAAGCATTCAAGAGCAGAAAGAGTCTTTGAGTCAGTCATTTATTTTAGAGCAATATATTGTGATCATTTAGGGGAGTTTTATTTTTTTCCTCTTTATTGATTTTAGAGAGAGAGAGGAAGTGAGAGGGAGAGAGAGATAGAAACATCAATGAGAGAGAACATTGATTGGCTGCCTCCTGCACGCCCCCCACTGGGGATTTGGCCCACAACTCGGGCAGGTGTCCTGACTGGGAATCGAACCAGCAACCTCTTGGTGCATGGGTCGATGCTCAACCACTGTGCCACGCCGAACAGACTTGGGGGAGTTTTATGTAAGTAAAAGTCTAAGTCTCACTTTTCTGAAATACTGACTCATTCATTCACCCTGAGAACCCCACCCACTTTGTACAGTTGGAACCCGCAACTTAATCTGTACTCAAATATATTTTAAAATCTTTAAGTGTAGATTGTTTTACTCTAGCTAAAATTATGTTGCCTTTATTTTTTCTTCTCATCCCTTAAATGATTGCCCCCTCCACCCACAAAAGTTTGATCAAAATGATTGCTTTTTTAAGTTACGATATAATTGACATATTGACATTGTATAAATTTAAGATGTAAAACTTATTGATTGCAATATGATTTTGGAGTAGAACTAAAGAATTAGTGTGCTATATATATTTCAAAGGAATTCTATTAATCAGCCAGTTTTGGGAACCATAAATTCATCAGCCATTAAGATGCCCAGGAGGTTCTTAAGAAAACATACGCGTTTACCTCGAGATTATCAAACAGTGCAGATACTTCTTGACTTGGTTCCTAGCTACCCATTGGCTACAAATGTTTGACAGGTATGGAAACTCTACTGATGCTGGCTTTTATAAATGGAGGCTCTTTTACCTGGTTAGTCAATAGCACTGTTTACCTATAAGTAACTAGTTAATTTACCCTTAGAACTCCACCGAGTTTGCACAGTTGGAACTTGCAACGTAATCTGCTCTCAAAAATATTATAAAATATTTTAAGTGCAGAATGTTTTACTCTTGTAAAAACTTTGTTCCCATCATTTTGTTCTTCTTGTCCATTAGATGAATTGCCCTGTCCATCTACAAAAGTTTAATCAAATGATTGCTTTTTAAAAATTGAGATATAATTGACATATAACATTGTGTAAATATAAGATATACAACATGTTGATTTGATACACTATTATATTGCAATATGATTATCACCATCATGTTAGCTAATACTGCCATTAAGTCACATAATTACCACGCCTTCTGGTGGTGAAAACATTTAAGATTTACTTAGCCACTTTGATCAAAACGAGTGCTAAGAACTCTAGGCAAGCACAGTTTGCATTTTGAAGAAAACAAAGGACACTTGGCTATTTTTCTGAAAGGTGTGGGTAAAACCAGTGAGAGAGAGAGAGAGAGAGAGAGAGAGAGAGAGAGAGAGAGAGAGAATATGCCTCATTCCACTATCATGCCACAAATACCTCCTCTGGATTCTGGGTTGCTCAGGGCAGGACCAAACACATGTCCATGTCCTAGAAGACTAACATTTTGGGACCCATTCAAAGGAAATATTATTCATTATTGCTTCAGCATATCTTTACAGGAGAAGATGAGTATTACTTGGGTGAAGGGAGAAGTTGATTCTAGAGGGTAGGCAGGAATTCATTTTTTGCTTTACCATCTTCCCAGGTCAGCTGCAGGCACACACAGACATAGCCTTAAATCAACTCTCTGAGGTCACTCAGACCCACCATCCTAGAAATCTAGCTGATTAGGAACTGTCCACTGTCTCTTGACCATGCTTCTTGAGAGACGTTCTAGTAAATATGATTGTTCTCTTCATTTCTTAACATGGACAGTATTTGGCAGTCTCGGTGATATCTTTTTATATCTTTATCAAATGAAACCGGGCAGCTGCTTGGCTGGCCCAACTCTTAATTCCGTTTCAGAAATTCCTTGCTGTTATCATAGCTCCCATATCCCCCCTCTGCCCCCGCCCCAAGGAACTAGATAAGAAAAATAAATGCTAAAAATGTCTTCTTTCTTCTTTAGGAAATGCTTGAAGGAGTAAAAAGAAATTAATTATCATTATTTTGTTTAAAAGAATAAAATAATAAAAGCACACTACCAGACGTCCTCTGCATCTTCATCACATTCAGCACCAAACTGGCAAATATCACAGGTGGATGTTTCCTTTTGACTGGTTTCTCCTGAGCCTTCATGGACTATGGACAGACAAAAGGAAACAAAACTAGTTCAGATAAGTGTGCATAATACCAACAATTCTAAGACAATGTTACAGCTGCTACTTTCCCAATGGACCTGTGTTACTAAGGCTTCATAAGAATGGCATACTAACTCCTTTCTTCCCTAAATTTGCGGACAACTCTAACAATGCCACCCACTGGTATGTAATGAACATTTCAACTTTTTACAAGCAAAATAAAATGAATAACAGCGTTTACTGGATTTATCAAAATTCCTTGGCTAATAAATAAACCATATGAAAGAGATATTTAGCAAAAAGGGATTTTAAATTTTTCCCTTGCTTAGAGGAAAAATCTAGTGTCTACTAGACTATAAATAAATACCTCACATTTTCTCATTTGTAAATTATAGATTTTTTTTTCATTCACTGGCTTTTATACATAATTTAAAAAACTTGAATGGGCAGTTATGACTTATTAGATATATATTCTTCCCCCTACCCACTTAAAATGTTCAGTACTTATAAGAAAAAAATGTTGATTATAAATATTTGGAAAACAGCTTTTAATTGCGTTGTACATTGACTTCTTGAATCTTACATCATTATGTTAGAACCCATCATAGCGATTTCTTCTCTGACAACTATGAACATACATTTTATTTTTAAAATATATAGTCCACTAATGATGATTACTGATGTTGGTCTTCTTTCTTCCTCATAAAATAAAAATTACATTTTAATTGATGCAATGTATAACCTAATTATAAAATTGAACTCTCAAAATCAGGACACAGTAATGTAAATCAAGAAAAACTTTCTAGTATTTTGAGTCCAGATAATGAAAATCTGAGCAATAATTTTGCTTCTAGATGAAAAACTGCAACAGTCTAACTACTGTACAGATAATTTTGTTCCATGGGCAGATCATACACTTAAAAACAGATGTTCAAATCAAGAAGACCTTTAAAAAGTGCACTACTGCTAAAGGTCATGTATTTTCAATAGAAAAAGAACATATGCAATTAGGTACAGCATTGACTCCTATCTTTATGAACTCTAATAAGATAAAATTTTAACAGACATAATTTATGAACATGCATCTTGAACCTAAAAAAATCTAACCTTATTTCATTTTAATAAGACATTTTCTCATCATTTCTTCTTTGTCTATTAACAAGAGTTTCTAACATTTACAAAAGCAAAGGTCTTTATTTCCTGATTTTCTTTAATTTACTGCTGTGCGGATAAGTGATTTAATTTTTATTTTTAAAGGACAAGAAGACATCTCTAAAAGTACTTTTATAGTTTTTCTAAGAAAGATAGAATTATTTTTTCTAAAGCAGATTTTTCCTGTACCTAATTGTTTGCACTTACATTTTAAAAAGTTATGATTTACAACAGATTAAATAAAAAAGTATTCATGATACAGTTTTAAATTTAGAAGTCAAAAAAGAAAAAGAAAAAGAAAAAGGCGTCCCTCGCCAGTAAGAAGGGATTTTGAACTCTGATGAAATAGACAGGAATTATTATCCTGTCTTACTTCACAGCCAGGCCATTAGAGTGGACCGTGGGGATAAGAAGGGAGCTGGGGCCTCACCTCAGGGGAGCTTGAACAGCTGAGGCTGGTCTCTTTATTACTTTCTTATTATTAATGCAACACAGAAGCTGCTAATGGGAGAGAGCCTTTTAGTGTTAGCAAGATTAGCAGCTTCCAGACTAAAACTTCCCATCACTCAGGAAACATACTAACACAAGGGGAAGGTCCTTAATGAACAGTTACAGCCACTTAGGGGCAGCCCCTTTTATTTCTCAGTTGAGATCCCTGGTTAGGGATCTACTGGAAATAACCCAGGGGATGAATTGTGCTAAGTCACAATTATATACAATAGTATATATACAATGTAAACTCTAATACATTTAATGATATATTATTTAAAATACGTATAATAGTGGGATATATTAGAATTACGTATATAGCATATATAATAGTTATATATAGTACATATTACATATATATATGCACTATAATATATGTACTGTACTATATTACCTAAATGTTCTCATAATATGAAAGAGTTTGTGTATGTTCTCATATTTATGCAAGTTGGAGTATGACAGCATTGTTATTTGATTTCTTCATAAAAGCTATTTAGATTTTCTATTTTATTGATTTCTGCTCTTTTTATTTATTATTTTCTTTGTGTTACATACCCAGAGCTTAATATATTATTTTTATAGTTTCTAGAAATGGGAGAAGTAGTTGATTTCATACCTTTCTTATTTTCCAATATATATATTTAAATCTATAAATTTTCTTATTAAGACTGCTTTAGCTGCATCTCACAAATATGAATATTGTGCTTCTATGTCATTCTGTTCAAAATATATATATATTGTAATATCCTTTGAGATTTCATCTCTAATCCATAAGTTATTTAGTAAGTGTATTTTTTAACTTATAAATATTTGAGAGTCTTAAGAACTATATTATTTTATTCGTCTTTAATTTAACTCTATTATGGTTAGAGAACATATTCTGTTTAATTTAAATTCTTTGAAATTTATTGAAATTTGTTTTATGACTGAGAATATTGTCCACCTTCTTGAATAATTCATGTGCATGTTAGAAGTTATAACCTCTAGTGAGGAGTAATTTTCTATAAATGTTAATTAGCTTAAGTAGATGGTTAGTATTATTCTAATCTTCCGTAACTGTACCGATTTTTTAATTGTCCTATTACTGAGGAAGAAGTGTTAAAATCTCTATCAGCAACAGTAAAATTGTTTTCAGTTTTCATTTGTTCGGTCTTGTATTTGGGAGCTTTAATATTGGGTGTAGAAACATTTGATAGTCTTATATGTTTCCTTAAATAAGTGACCTTTTTGTTTTTTTTATAAAATGCACCCTTTTAATCTACTTTGTTCTGATATTCATAGAGCCACACCAGGTTTCTTCTGCTTATTGTTTCTATTATTTTACACTCAAACTACTTGTTAATATGTTTAATGTGTGTTTCTCGACAGACTCATAGATACAGAGAACAGATTGATGGTTGCCAGAGGGGAGGGGCTTTGGGGTCTGGGTGAAAAAGGTGAAGGGATTAAGACGTACAAATTAGTAGTTACAAAATAGTCATGGGAATATAAAGTCTCGCATAGAAAATATAGTCAATAATATTGTAATAACTACATATGGTGCCAGGTGGGTACTGGAAATATCAGGGGAACACTTTGCAAAGTACATGATTGCCTACCCACTATGTTGTATACCAGAAACTAATATAAAATAATACTGAATGTAAACTGTAATTAAAAAATAAAGTGTGGCCCTGGCCGGTTTGGCTCAGCAGTTAGAGTGTCAGACCACGGACTGGAGAGTCCCGGGTTCGGTTCCCGCTAAGGGCATGTGCCTTGGTTGTGGTTTGTCCCGGGCCCCAGTTGGGGTCTCTCTCACGTTGATGTTTCTCTTTCTCTCTTCCTTCCTCTCTTCCTCCCTCTCTATCTGAAGATAAATGCAAAAAAAATGTCCTCAGGTGAGGATAAAAAAAGAAAAGAAAAAATAATGTGTGTTTTTTGGAAACATAATTGGATCTTGCTTTTTTATTCAGTCTGAATATATTGGCATTTAATCAGGGTATTTAGCTTTTACTTTAATATAATTAATTTTGGGGTTATTCTTGTGTTATTATTTTGGTGGCTGCTTTAAGATTTACAAAATACATCTTTAAATTATTTTAATCTATGACTTAATGAACAATTTAAGAACTTTATGACAATATAGTTTTAATTACCAAAGTCCACTTTTTGTATTCTTATTGTTATATATCATACTTCTACCTATGCTGCAAATCTCATGTTTCTTTTTAAAATTAGTCTAATTTAAGGTCCTGGCTGTGTAGCTCAGTTGATTAGAGTGTTGTCCCCATATACCAAGGTTGTAAGTTCGATCCCTGGTCAGAGCACATATAAGAATCAACCAATAAATGCATAAATAAGAGAATCAACAAATTAATCTCTCTCTGTCTCTCTAAAAATCAATCAATATATAAAAAGTTTTTTAAATTAATTTTATTTAAATAGCCATCCTATTCTTCTGGGCTAATTTCCACGGCAAAAGCTAGAGATTTCAGTACTAGTGAAGATACCAGCCTGTTACTGCTAAATGATTATTTGACTTCTGACTTGTATCTGTTCTAACTTTTCAAGACTTACCTATAGTCTCACATTCTCCATGGAAGACACTATTGATTTATGACATTTATAGTATATTGCATTTTTTTTCATTATTTTTCTACCCTCTCCAATAAAATAATTATAAGTTCTGCTCTACAGTCATTTGACTTGAGTTCCACGATATGACTGTTAGTCTTATGACTTGCTTTTGCCATTGAAATGTGAGTGGAAGTAAGAAGCTATATAAAAGCTATCATGTGGATTTCTACCTTCTTGTTCTTTCCCTTTTCATACAAAGACACATTCTAGAATAAGAGCTATTCCTTCAACTAATCCCAGAGTGAGAAGATATATAGAACAGTGTCACAGTTGACCCCAGTCATAGGAGCAAGAATTTTTGCCACTGATACTGCAAGCCTCTGAGGTTTTGAGGTCCTTTGTAACTATGACTTTACCTAGTGAAAGATGACTAATAAGATGGGAATTAATGTTATCAATAAATTCTAAGAAAACATACTTTTACATCATTTTCACACCTCAGATTTTGGTTGCATTACTTTTCTACACAACTGTAGATCTGCTTTTAATCTTCTCCAAATCTTCCTTCAAATTTCCACTATTTCTTTTCTATAACAGCATATATTTGCAATGTTTAAGGCCTGTTTCTTTTATTATATTTTCATTTTTTTCCCAACTGAATACAACTTTTCCAGTCTATGCATGGTTCCCTTTATTCTCTCCATGCAGTTCTAGTACATCCCGTAGACAGATATATAAGGTACGCCATTCAAATTAAGCAGAGAATAAACATTTAACACAGTACAAACATAAGCAAATAGAAAC